AAAAAGTTCCTATAACCATGACTATCAAGTACGATGCTCCTATTCTGTAGCTATTTCTCAACTGAAGAAATGTGTCCAGGCGAGTTAAAGTGTTACTCGTATTACAGAAAGCCATTAAATTAGGCTTATTCCCACAAAAAAGTCGATGCTCCTGTAGTAGATACAGCACAAACAGCTTGTATACACTTGTAAGAGTACATATAATGACACAAATATCGACAGGGTATCGATATTCAACAGTAATGATGCCTCTAAAACATGAAACAGCTAAAACGGAAGTCATTAAACCTTTCTGTGTTGGTCAAAAAGTGAAGCTCTACATCACTCTGATTTCAAACGTGCACGGAAGCCTGGCTGAAGCTGTTATCGGTGCTGAGCGGCTGCCTCCGTCAAAAGGAGCCAATCTTTGCCATTCCCATGCGCCTGATATATGGTAATGGGATGGAGGCTTCTCGGGCATCACTGTGATAGCTGTGGCTGCTTAAAAATAAAGAAAATACAAATTCGTAAGAAGCTGCGGATTAAATATGGTTCCGCCGCCGACAACAGCCTTTCCAATATCGAGGAGGATTCCTGTGATGATTTTTAATGAGGCTATTACCTTTAGCTATGTATTATGTGTTCAAATATAAAAGCATATTGTTTAAATGCCAATATGCAGTCTCATATGTCTCGAGATAGTGTGAGAATCTGCTTTAGCCAAGTTACATTTTGAGGATGATGATGGTAACGATCAAGGCAGCAACACCCGAGGACGTTCTTAGTAAAGTACCAGTGGTTTCACTTAATATTTCATTATTGAACATGCTTTCAAAAACTATAATAATATTACTCAAAAGAGTCACGAAATACTATAGACGACTCTTGTATCAGATATCCTATCCTAAACACGTCTTATGTTTACCCGGGAGAGGTTCTCAAACTTTCTTTTAGAGTCAAGCCAAGACTGCCCGTGCACGGATTATAAGCGATGGGACATCTATAAAAATCTCCGATGTCTTTTGTTCACTACTGGGACTAGGTTGAAGATTTTCCGAAAGAAAATAAATCTGGCTGTAATTCGCTTAACGAACTATGGATAGAAAGCGCCTGTAGGTTCCCAGTGCCATGGCTTCTTCTGTGTTTTATTTATTTTGTGATATTGATAAAGATTTGTGTGGATGGATGATTGTGAGATTACGCTACACACGCACGCGCGCACGCGCACACACACACACACACACACACACACACACACACACACACACACACACACACACACACACACACACACACACACACACACACACACACACACACACACACACACACACACACACACACACACACACACACACACACACACACACACACACACACACACACACACACACACACACACACACACACACACAACACACACACACACATACACACGCACGCCCACACACACACATACACACGCACGCCCACACACACACACACACACACACACACACACACACACACACACACACACACACACACACACACACACACACACACACACACACACACTCACACACACTCACACACACACTCGCACACACACACACACTCTCTTTCCCTCTCCCTCTCTCTCTCTCTCTCTCTCTCTCTCTCTCTCTCTCTCTCTCTCTCTCTCTCTCTCTCTCTCTCTCTCTCTCTCTCTAATGCTCAATAAATCATTTACTTGCTGTTCAATTATTCACACATTTTCAATCATTCACTCATTCACTCTGTGTGTGTGTGTGTTTATATATATATATATATATATATATATATATATATATATATATATATATATATATATATATATATATATATACATACATACATACATACATACATACATACATACATACATACACATACACATACATATATTTGTATGCTGAAGTTACTATGTGTGTGTGTGTGTGTGTTTCTGTGTGCGTGTGTGTGTGTGCGTGTGTGTGTGTGTGTGTGTGTGTGTGTGTGTGTGTGTGTGTGTGTGTGTGTGTATGTGAGTGAGTGAGTGTGTCTGTGTGTCTGTGTGTCTGTGTATATACGGTAATAACGTTTAACTTAAGACTGATCTAAGGCTGCAATCTGTATACGTCATGTATGTTTGTGCATTTTGTAAACATCAAAATTATAATTGTCATTCAAATAAAATGGGTTTCAAGCAATCACTGGAGTAAAGACTTCAGTGATGATAATGATTTTTAAATAGATGTTTGAAACTAAAGCTCATTACTTATTTACATCATCTTTTTGATACTCTAATTGTGAGACTGATAGCTTTTTTTGTCAGACATTTCCATCAAAACAGAGTGCAGTTTGATCATGAAATCTATGAAATGTCCACAGGCTGGTATTATATTTGCAAACTTTTAATAGAGATTCGTATAACAAAATATTAGGAATATAGTATTTTGTATGTCATACATTGATTACCAGTATTTGTTTTGATCTCTATTAACTTAGATCGTAACTGTGTGCACGATCTAAAATGCGGTAATGACATGCTTTAAGGTTTAGGCAGACTTGAAAAATCGGTTTTACCATAATTTTCACAACTGCAAGTAAGCAGTGAATCATGTGCAAACAGCTTTCAAGTTATAGATCTTAATTTTTGCGTAAATGTCACATTACCTTGTAAATATTCAGTCACTCATGACATTTACCCACAAAATCATGCACTTGTTGAATAAAGAATTTAGAGTTGCTGTACGATGTTTATAATGTAAAGCCTGTGCACTACTTGTGAGCTGGTTGGTCTTTTCTACGAAATAAAGATAACTGAGAACCACAATATCTCTACCCTAGTCCGCAAAGGCTTTGTAATGACAACATTTTAACACAGTGAAATATTTATCATTCTTTTTGGTGTCGCTATTTCCATATTATTTCAGTAGATTGTTTACATAGATGGTATCTAAAATTGGTGGTGGTGGGTACTCTAAGGTTTCTGCTTCTGCCAAGCTTTGTTTCTTCTGCGTATGCATGCTGGGCGCCTGCCAGAACCTGTGAGTCTTCTCTCTGCAGCTTTGATAGTGTAGATAACATTGGTGGGCAGCCTGATCGGTGTCGGCATCCTTCTTTGCAGTATTCATGTAGTGCAGTTTCATGTTTTGCAGTGCCAGTTGGGTTCACATAAAGGAGCAGTTAATGTGATGTTATAAAATCACATGTGATAATTTTTATTATCACGTCGCCCACAGTTGCCATATATTTTATAAAGAGCAGTATGTATCATTGGCTACCCACCAGATGTTAATTAATCTGCCAATTTAATAGTTGCCAAGGTTCTCCTTGTCTAGTCGTCTATTGAATATGTAATCAGAATTTTCAAATTATAATGAAAATACAGTAATTTTGCCATATAATATATGTTCTGTAGTTTCTTTTCATTTTAATTCAGTATAACTGCATCCCAAAGTTTCGGTTTGTTATGCGCGATACAGTTCAGACAACAGATGGATGTTCGGTGTGCATAAAAGCTTTTTTATTTTCCTATATGTGCATTGATGTATATAAAACCACTTCCATAGATATATAAGGACCTGTCTCATTTTCAAGTATGATGCCAATTTAAACATAAAAAAAATCACTCCAAGCATTGCTTAGCTGAAGATAAATTATTGCAACTTCAACTTTTAAGAGTTTTGTTACCTAAAGAGGAAGGATCAAAGGGTAAATGAAATGTATTCACGATATGAGAGTTCAGATGTGCTAATGTGTCCACGCCACTTGTAGCCACAGAAAGACATTGCGGGTTCCATGTGTGAACAGGGAGGTGTTACATATTTAACTTCTGGGGTTCACAAGGGGGTCACATGAAATGCTTGGATTTGCATGTGGAAGAATACTCCGTCTTCTCTGTCAGACACTGAATGTTTACAACTGAATAAATGGTAGAGATAAGCTTTTAGACAGTAAGTTTCGAGAGTCAGGATATGTTGATGACTATAAATCCGTCACCAAATCTATTAGATGACCTTAAATTCCTATCAGTACTACGACTCCTTTTCTTTTCCCCTTCTACTTCTTCTTAACTATCATATAAGACAATTTTGGAGTATGGTAATTAGAGATATAGCTTAGGTAAACCTTGTACTAAGCATTGAAAGAGAGGGTGTCTAGTTTACGTTCTCTGGTTTTCTTTTTTGCAGCTAACCAGAGAAAGAGTGTGGCTAAAAGTGGTGTGGATAAACAGCAACACCGGGACTCCATATACAGTCAAAATGGAACTAGTGTGTAATGCCCTGCAGTCTGGGGCACAACACTTAAATATTTATATTAAACTTTTTACAATTTATTAGTGAGACATACTACCTTCAAATATGCTGAAATTAATTGCCCATCAATGTAGAATAATTTGTTACTCTGATGACCTATAATGACTTAAATAATTTGTTAACCAATATTGCTGTCACTTTTTGTATTTCGGACTTGTTGGAATTCATTTGGCTCTGAAAATAATGTTTGATATTCATGTGAGATATGCCGGAATATAAGTAACCTATGCTTTATTCTTGTGTGTAAGCACCTTTCATCCATTGGTATTCTTGATGAAATATATACAGAAGTGAACTTAACTTACGCAGTAGGATGTAAATTGGCAGTTTTGATATAAGGAATTTCATGTTGAATTCATTTTTTTAATATTCGGCACACACTGAAAATGTCGCACTGTCATTTGTTCACACACGGGGGAAAACTGTAGTGATATGAAAGAATCTACAGTAGATTGTGCTCAATTACATCGCAATGCTATACATTATATCGTAATAAGCTGGTAATGTTGACAAGGACAGTCTGCATTATGTGTGTATAAACTGTAAAGTTTCTGTTGTACTGTGAATGATAACACTGTTGCCATCACTTTTCTTTATGAAACGTAAGTGTTGATAGTAGTTATATGTGCGTATAATATGTGTAGATATATGAAATAGTATTACTGCACAAATGCCATCAAAAATATGCAAAAGCTAATATGCTATGTTTTTAATCTGCAGAGCGAGGAGATTTCAAGCCCACAGACCTGGAAAGGTATGTATTTTTTCTGACCACAGAGAATGTAGTACATTGTATTATATGTGTGTATGTATATTTATGTCAGTTATACAGATATGTTCCTTTAAGATAATATTTCATTATGTGACTCTTGTGTAATGCAAATTTCCTCCTACAGTGATAAGAGCGACATTGAGAGCCAGAAGGGAAATAATGGTAGGCATCAGTATAGTGCAACGGGATCAGGTGCTGGTAGGAGTGGAGGCAAGACCATGGTTGCAGGATCCCTTGCCTCCATCCCTCCCGACGCCCTTTACACAACCACGTCCAAGCATACCAGTGTGTCCACTCTGTCCTCTAAACCTGACCATGAGTATGAGAACTTGAAGGTGAGATTAGAGGATGCCATGAGCTGAATGGGACACATGGGGAATCGGTGGCATCGCGATGAGTGTCTCACGCGGGGAAGACAAGATACGCAAACTCACGTCATTGCGAACTTGGCTTATCAATGAAGGTTAAGCTATTTATTACTTGTGATTTAAGGGGATATATGAATACATCAAAGAGCGTACCTTCTCTTCCCCCGTGTGCCATGACCGACGAGCCCGACCCCGTCCACGCTCCGCAGCTGTCTCTATCAGTGGCTTACGATCCCGCGGCGACGTCTTCTCCTGGCCCGGGCCGCACGGTCAGCAGCTCGCACCTCAAGGTCAATGCCAACATGACCAACTGTAAATACAATAGTGTGGGAAGGCACGAGCACAGTATTGTAGAGAAATTTTCTTTTTCCTTCTTGTGCAGTTGGTGCAGTCAGATACAGCTTTGATTTAATTGAAAGACCAGTGTCAAAAACTAAAGATTTTTCATAAAATCAGCTACCAGTACAGTTGCGAAATCCCATCCTTTTTGTTCTCACGGTCAAAAAAGTAAGTTCATAAGCTTCATTGATAATTCAGAGTAATTTCATGCCATAAAGATGTTAATTTTAGCACTGTGGAAGCCCTTTGTTGATATATGTTATGAAATGCATCAGAAGCACTACCTCATTTTTTATTTTTAGAATCTTTTCAGTAACAGTTTCCAGTAGCAAAATTAACAACACACGTTTAAAAGCTTAAGCACATTAGTAATAGAAAATAATGTTTATATTAGTTACTTGCACTCAACAACTCATTTGCATAAGAGTGGTAAGCTCACGATATGCACTATTTATATAGCATTTGAAACTTTTGTTCTCATGAAAGTTGGATATGATAACTTAACAAAACTAACTTTAATTCGTTTAGTTCATAGTTTTCTGATTTGATGATTTGAATCACGTAAAGTGTGAAAAGTTCTCAAACGTTTGAAAAGGTGGCAGGCAGTGGCAGGGACCGTGGACATGATTGGCTAAAGTTTATTACAATCACTGTAGATACAGAACTTTTTCATGTTAGTTTTTATTTGATGCAGTAATTCTTATTTCAGAAGGGATAATAATGATTATATTGATAATAATAACAATGGTGATGACGGTGGTGGTGGTGGTGGTGATGATGATGATGATGATGATGATGATGATGATGATGATGATGATGATGATGATGATGATGATGATGATGATGATGATGATGGTGGTGGTGATGATAATAAGAATGATAATGCCTATTATTGTACATTTGTTATTATATTTGTGTGTGTATGTATGTATGTGTGTGTGTATGTGTGTGTGTGTGTGTGTGTGTGTGTGTGTGTGTGTGTGTGTGTGTGTGTGTGTGTGTGTCTGTGTGTGTGTATGTGTGTGTGTATGTGTGTGTGTGTGTATGTGTGTGTGTGTGTGTGTGTGTGTGTGTGTGTGTGTGTGTGTGTGTGTGTGTGTGTGTGTGTGTGTGTGTGTGTGTGTTGTGCGTATGTGTGTGTGTGTGTGTGTGTGTGTGTGTGTGTGTGTGTGTGTGTGTGTGTGTGTGTGTGTGTACTGTATATATTTTTTATTGTCACATATATCAGTCATGGTATTTATGATTATAATAGAAGTAATTCAATCTTATTATCATCATCATATTTTTCACAATCACTACCACCACCTTATGGTTATTGTTGTTATTGTTATTATCATATCATTATCATTATTATTATCATTATCACTGTTGTTACTATGATCATTACTCCCATTATTAACATTGTTTTTATCATCAGCACCGTGATGCTTATTAGTATTAGAGATGATTGTTCTTATCGTTTACCTTATCTCAAGTTTATGCATGGACAGGTCTTGTCATTGTTATACCGCAAATTTATCTTATAATTATCACGAGAACAATCACATTTTTTTTTGCTTTTCCTTTGCTTTATTCATCGATAAATGATATCCTAAAATCATTAACACCTGGCCTGTATTGCAGATAATGCCAACACAAATGGAAACACAAAACTTGTGCCAGGAAACGAGAAGCAGCAGCAGTTGCAGCAGCCGCAGCAGCAATCCGGAGAGAAGAGATGAGCTTAACACAGCCCTCGGAGAGCCCGGAGAGAGCAGGGAGGAGGAGGAGGAGGAGCGAGAGTCGGCCAGTGAGCAAGGGGAGAGCAGCAACGGCAATCTAAAAAAGGGAGAATTGCACACATTCAAGAGGCATAACGACCAGCAGAGTGAAGCTAAAGACTTACCTAGAAATTTCAAGAGCTCTCCATACGTGCCAGTATATAAGCCAAATCCCGACCGAATCAGTTCACCTTATGCCGATAGAATGAAATCGACAGCAACGGCCAGTGTACGGAGACCAAGCACAGGCGTTGTGTATGCAGAACTTCAGCTTCCACGAGCATCAAACAACGGCTCCATGAGACGTGGAGACCAGAGAACTCCTCACCAGAAGACACAGTATGCAGAGATTACGTTTCAAGGCCGACCGCTTCAGACCGCAGAGATATGATAATTCCCCATGAGGATTTTATTAATTGTTTGGGCAGGGTGTCGTGGGATGTTTCCTTCCTAGCTGTGCTTTTTTTTCTTTCTTTCTTTGTTTTTTGGTCAAGTAATGATCTTTGTAAAGGTGTTTTGTGAATGCAGTTTACGTATTTTTGGCTACGGAAAAAATATTGAAGCCTTGAAATTCCATGAAGCACCTATTTTACTGCACTTTGATTTTTAATTCCGGCCAGATGAATGGTAGCCAGTTAAAGGGAAACAAGGATATTACAACAATTTTGATGAAAAATTTCGACGCATTAGAAATTCTTATAGAGTTCATAGATTAACAAAGATTACTCTTGTATTCCAATTTAAATTGCAATCTGTGTAGAACGAATATAAATTATATGATAGTTTAAACATGAAGCCAAACTTTTAAAGTCTATAAATGATCTATTCCAATGGAGAAGGGCTTCACTTAGAATTAAGAAATGGTGGTGTAAGAGCTATTTGTATGAATTGTTTATATAGATAATTTGAATATGACAGCATTTTTTAGGGGCAATTTTAGATCTAGATTTCTGACTTCATAATTATAGTATGCTGTATGTAAAACTATTTCGTAAGGAGTAAGTGATAACTGTCTAGTTTTGAACTGCATCCAGAATCACCTGCAAAAAATGTGTAAGTGTGTGTTGCTTTTTATGTATTTCAGCCAAAGTTCTGAAGCTTTTTCCAAGTCTGCACACATTTCCTTTGGTTTCATTTTATTGATTTACTCCATCACTGTGTCCTATGCAATGAGATGGTCCATTTTTTGCGTATGTGAAAAGTGCAGTCTTTGTATGTGACAAGCAATGCATTTCATCCAAGGTATAAACCACTGCAATATTGTAGACTAGCTACAGTTTGCTTGTCTTTGGGCTGCTCTTACTTTCCAGATGAATGATGCTGCTTTTGTCCTTTTTGTCCAGACTAATTTCTCATTTCCAAAGATCTTCATTTAATGTTAGGGTGAATGTACATATAACGTATACAGATCACTTATTCAACCAATGCTTCATGATGTTCCTTTGCAGGCTTCCTGCATGGTACGTGATATGTGGAACTTCACTTTTTTATTTACAATAAACAGGCATAAGAATGTGTTAATACCATTTATCAAGGTACAGTGGCTTAAAAAAATTCACTATGGTAAATAAGTAAAAGAGAAAAATGCATGTAACATTCTCTATAATCACAACATTCACACCATGGTGATGGTATTAATGCTCTGGCTTAAGATTTATGTGCATGCAGAAGGTTCATTTGTCCTTGGTTCAGGGTTTATCCATATCCTCAATTTTAGTACACTATCGTAACAAGTATGACCGCATTCCGATTACTTTTTAGTTCATAGTGATTTGATTACTTAATGTATGAAATGATGCAATAACGAAATTTGTTAAAAGCTGGAAGTATTAGCAACATAAATGATGCTCAACTGAATTTACTTGACATTCCCATACCCATCTTAATCCAAGTGTTCCACAACATAAGCATTTACATATATAATATAGGTATTGCTGATAATATTAAAAGTAAATAATATTTATTGACAGGGCATGTTCAAATTAAATTCACTTTGCATTGTGCCTAGGGTGAGGAAATATACAAAATTATGTCTAGAACTTGGCTTCCTTTAATGATAGTTACTTGGGTTCCACAAGAAAGCAAAAGTGCCTTCTGGTCATCTAGCTAGCACTTCACACACTTGTTACCAACATTATGTCAGACTCCAGTTGTACTGTCAGATAGGTTCACCTTAATGAGGGAGAAATGCTTCTCAAAAGACAAGTTATGTACATTGAACCCAAGTGCCTATTGTTGCTGAGGTTGTCATTGATTATGTTAGTCATTTTATAATTAGCTAAGTCATATGCCTCATTTATCTTAACAGTGTCCTGTGAATTACAATTAAGCTTAATTTGGTCAAATTTTGATTTGTAAACCAAGAGGGTATCTTTTATATAACTTTGTATATATATTTGTATATGCTGAAGTAAATGGGTGCAACAATTTATTACTTGTTTTATTTACAAATTGTTTTTAAAACTTTATCCTGATTTAAAATTTACTTGAAGTGAATGTGGGAATAGAAACTGAGAGATAATTACCAGAAATACTTTAGACTTTTTTCTTATTCTACAAGCACACAGCAACCCTCTAGTCAGTACAGTTTGTAATATCCTTGATTTACCATATCTTCACACCTGCACACTAACTTCTGTAGATTATCAAGCCAACAACATAGCAATTACACCAAACGGTCCTTAATGTCCAATGTAACTCTGACTTATTGGTGTATTCATAAATGGACCCTTTGAGTGCCATATATATCCAAATTAAGCTTAGCTTGGCACCAGTATGTTATTCGACTTAACTCCACTATTATGTGGATAAAAAACTTAAAATGCAAGCCACACTCAAAATCGACTGCAGCACTCAAACGCTTGAAAAGTTGTTTTTCTTTTACAGAATAACATTTAAATATAAATACAATCAAAGATTACCAAATAAAGTACATACGTGCGTCCTATATTTATACACAGCACGAAAGACTTGTGGAAGCATTTACCAAAACCACAGACGCCTATTAATCATTGAGAATTG